ATCATCCATGTCACTAACGAAGATACTAAACAGCACCAGTGCCAATCCTGACCCCTGAGGAATGCCCCTTGTCACTGGTCTCCACTCTGACACAGAGCCATTAACCACAACTCTTGAGTGCAACCATCCAACCAGTTCCTTATCCACTGGGTTGTCCATCTGTCAAATCCATGTCCATCCTCTCCAATTTAGAGACAAGGATGTCATGCAGGCCAATGTCAAATGCTTTTCACAAGTCCAGGTAGATGACATCACTTGCTCTTCCCTTATCCACCAACACCGTGACCCCATCATAGAAGGCCACCAAGTTCATCCAGCATGATCTGTCCTTGGTAAAGCCACACTGGCTGTCACCAATCACCTCCTTGTTTTCCATGTGTCTTAGCATAGTTGCCAGGAGGATCTGCTCCACGATCTTGCTGGGCATAGAAGTGAGACTGATGGGTCTGTACTTCCCCGGGTCCTCCTTATTCCCCTGTTTAAAAACAGGGTTATATTTCCCTTTTTCAGTCAGTGGGAACTCGACCTGACTGCTACAACTTCTTGAATGCTATGGATTGGCCCCAGATAGCTTGGCCACTTTATCCACCGGTTCCCTCAGGACCTGAAAATGCATCTCATCAGGTCCCATGGTCTTGTGCACCTTGAGGTTGCTTAGATGGTCTCTATCCTGGTCTTCTCCTACAACTGTCATGCCTGGAAGTGCAGGCAGAAGGACAGCGATGGGAGTACACATCCAAGAAATGCAAGTCCACCACCTCATGTTTACTTTGGTTAATGGGACCATAGAACAACCTTACTAGAGGGACCTAAACTTTAGAGATTGATAGTGATGAATAGTAAATACTTTAAAAGCATTGAATATGAAAGAACAAAATACACATCCCTAAGAAATTCTACGCTTGAGAGGAGTAGACTCCTAGCCTCAATAGATGAGATGCATCACCCTGAGTTAAACCCACTGGATTGTTAAACTAAACTGTTTACTGAAGTATTTTGTTCTGTGGTATCTCTGTAAAATATTGCACCAGCTAAGATTGACACATTGCAGTGTAAGTGGCTTTTGAAGAGGTTTTTTCAGGAGTCAGATTATAGCTGGATGACTTGGCACTTCATATACTGCATTATGCAACAAGCTACAGAAGTAGCTGCATGTACAAAAGGTCTTGTCCAATACACGTGCCACAACAAAGCTACAGGAGGACAAACAGCGACCTTCAGTGGTGGTATCTCTTGGCTGTTTGTAACAGAGAGCTTAAAACACTCTAAAGTATGTGAGTCGTGTCAACATGCCCCAACATTTAGGTGTGACAGTCCTGGATTAAAGAATTCACGTGTTCCTTTGCTGTTCACATGTAGCCCTTACACCGGAGCATTAAGGGTTTCTCCTACTGCGCACCTACAGCCTAGTTTCTCTCCCACTAAGCACCCGATAACATTCTGAACTGCCCACAAACTGGCATGTTTATCTGCAGAACTATGGGAGATTGTCAGACTATCAAAGCAGAAATGTGCTATAACATATGCTGCTGTTTTTTGGAAAGGAACCATCTATCTTCCTCGCTGTCAGGGAAGAAGCAAGCTTAAGTCCCAACTAGATATTCAAATCAAGAGTAATAGAGTAAGAAAATGCCTCAGTAGGCTAATCTTAATATTGCAATGAAAACAGCCTGGATAAAAATGTATCATCAACCAGCAGTGGTAACCTTGTCTTGGCACAGGGGTATGAGCTATGTGATTCCCTCTCTGTCTAAACGTTCCCTAGGAAGAATATCTGACCACTCTTCAGCTGCCACAGACTGTCCTACAGAAGGCAGGCTGGCAGAGGGAAGGTGTGTCTTAAGAATAAGCATGAGCACACTCAGGAATTCAACTAGCTCTAGAAGCAGCACCTCAATTTAGCGGCCTGAGAGCTTACCTCTTGGCTCCACCAGCATCTGGTGAGACAATGGTGCAGTTCTTCCACTCTGCAATATTCTCTTTGATCCATTTCAGTACAGCAGGCTCAGCATATAAGTTATCAACAGGGATATCAAAAAAGCCCTGCAAGGAAGATGACAGGAACAGATGTAGCTGAAGGTCACATTCCAAAAACAGTTGGAAGAAGCATTCTATATGATCAGGCATGTATCCACCACCTTTCCATATAGAATGCAGCTTTCAGCTTTCCTTCTACTTCCCTTAATGCAAGGGCAGTAGCCTCTGGGATACACAGAACAGTAATGTAAGAAGTCCTCAGAGCCAGAAATAGTTTGGCAGCATAAATAACACTTCACATCTGATACCTTCACCACATGGAACTAGTCCTGTCCTAAGGAGGTGCACAAACCAGCAAACACTTCTTTTCAGAGCAGCTAGCTGCCTGCTTACAAAGTCCATCTTTAAAAGCTCATTACCTGCACTGTTTCCATCTGCAGGAAACCTATTGAAAAGAGCTGGAGTAACATTTGGTTTTAAACTAATGCAGCTGGCCCCACAGCTTTACACTGACCCAGCAGACTCCTCCAGATAAAACTCAAAGGTCACTCAAAGCCAGAAGTTAAATCCTGGCCAGGGAGTAACAGGCAGGCGAGTGGGGGCAGCTACTCTAGAGAAATGCTCCTGGGTGTAAAGGGTAACAGATCCTTCCTACCAACACTCCTTCTGCGCTCAGCAACCATGAGAACCAGGCTGAGACCAGCCAGATGCTGGAAGCTTATATACACAAACCAAATTATTCAACTGAATCTCACCATTGCTGCTGATGAAAGGTCAACCCTATGACACACATTGCAACTCCAAGCCTCTTAAGGAAGAGGCATACACCCCTGGGCTCTGATCTTGTATTTCATGAGCTTTCTGAAAATCCTCTCAGCTGTGCCCCCATGGATTTTTTCTGAGACACAGTATTTCTGGGCAAATTACACTGGAAGAAATTACACCAAAATATGAATGGCTGCATTTTGAGTGTTAAAATGACAGCCAGCCCACCTACTTCAGCAGGCACCTTACCCTTCGGGATTCAAAGCACCTGCAGCTACACAATAGGTATGCTCCCCTCTCTTGGTTGCACTGAGTTGGTTTCTTGGTCTCTGACACCTGCTCAAGGTGGGAGGAGACAAGAGGCTGATAAATTAACAGCTTGCTATCCCTCCTCTCCCTGGTATACACTCTGGTCAAGATTCCAATTGCTCTTTGAGACTATTCTCTTCACTAAGCCAGCAAAACCCATGAATAATTTTTTTTATTACCAGCAGCTTGGGAGAGAACCAAATCCAACTTATGCAGAAGGGTAGCAGTGAGTGGATACAAGTGGGATTGCTCATCCTGTTAGCAGCAAGCTCTCAGATCACTGTCCTGGTCAAATGAACCCCCACCATCAGCTGTGCCAGTACAGCTGGAGGCAGAGCTAACCTCGGGACAGCAGTATTACCAGCCACTGTGTCAAACAGCACCACTCACTTCTCCCTGACAATTCAGTCAATATCAGAAAGCTCTACTCAATATTTAAGAACACTCTTGGTAAAGCCATTCTCCATCTCAAACTCCTCAAAGGACCTGTTAAGAATACACAGCATCACTGTGAGGCAATAAAGTAGCATGGATCATTTACTAGCCCAGCATCCATTTACACAGGACTCCTTATGTTTAGTCTTATCAAGAACATCTATAATTTCATTTACAGAAGAACCTGTTACCCATCTCCCCATCCTCTTCTGACTGATTCTACAAGTCCTTTCCAGCCCCACGTTCCCAAGTCCTGATCACTGCTGTTTCTAAAAGGAGATCGCTGGAAAGCCTGAAAAGCTCAGATTGGAGCAGGTAAGCACTTCACTGGTTTTAGCTCCTACCTGAATCTGAGATGCATGCAGGTCCATGGTGATTATGTGATCTGCACCTGCCACAGACAGCATGTTTGCAACCAGCTTGGCAGAGATTGGAGCTCGACTCTAGTACAAGAAAAAACAGTATTTAAGACAAGTTCAACTCCTTCATCAAGATGTCAGTCTTCCACTTGTAGGCAACGATTCACAAGCAGTTACTAAAAGTAGTACTCATTAACATTGCATCTTTTCATCAACTGGTGATTACAGCTTGGTGTATTTTCAAGAACTAAATCGTTATGAAAAGATGAATTTGCAGACCGATGCCCTGAGGTTTAAAGAAATTAAAACATGTTTTATCTCCTACTGTACATATTCAACTTCATCTTAACGCATATCAAGCAGTCAGGACTTCCAAGGTGTGCATTCATCTTCCCAGCAGAAACCTGTACCGCACCCCTTACCTTGTCCTTTTTGTCCTGCCGAGCGTAAGGGAAGCAGGGTATGACAGCTGTGACTCTGCTGGCTGAGGCAATCTTACAGGCATTTATCATGATGAGGAGCTCCATCAGATTGTCATTGATTTCACCACAGCCACTCTGCACAATGTAGACATCCTCCCCACGTACACTCTCGCCTATTTCCACACTGGGAACAGATGAGGAAAGGAGAGTTGTATCCAAATACAAATTAAAACACAGCCATGACATATGCCTGCAGAGCAACCAAGGGATTGCGTTCCCAAGGGTCTGTGGGTGAACAGTGTCATATAATCAAGGATGTTGAGCAGAGGCACTGTTGCTTATTTGCTCAGTAGCTATTTCACATCGCTCACTGATCAAATTTAATGGTTCAGGCTGTAAGGCTAAAAGCACTCAGCCTGTACTCTCGATCTCAACACAAGCTGAGCATGTAAACACCCCAGAACAGGCCGCGTTCCCCTTGAATCAGAAGTACAGCCGCCTCAGCTAAAAGCAGCAGTGTACAGAGGAAGCAAAGATGACAGCCAGTCAGCAGAGAAAGCTGAGCCAAACTTCTACCAGAAGCTGCGCTGCAGCCGATTATTAGATCTGGAGTCATAACAGCTATTCACTGGCTTGAACAGAGAAGCCCTCCAGCATTTCACTTTGGAAAGGCTTTTGGGGTTAATTTCCTCCTGGATGTAATGCACACTAATCCCTGCTGATGAAGGGACTGAACAGAAGCCAAAGGTCCTGTTTGCCAGCAGCAAACTGCCAGCTTCAGCACGTGTGTCAAGACACCTGCACCAGAGGCAGAGTTGGAAAGAAAGGAGTAGTCTTGGGTTTGAGGTTTCATGCAGGGCAATGCTGCATGTGGCCTTTCACAGAACGGAGTAATTACTAACAACTTCCAACACCTCAGTTTAGAGAAGCCTGACACAGATGTGGAAGTAACCAGAAGTCAGCCTACCAAGAACAAAGCTCTTCCACGGTTTCTTTCTTCCTGCACTGGAGATGCTCACCCACTCTGCACAGCGCTGCCGCATCAAACTCCAGGAACGAGTAGACGGACAACCACTCAACCCAATCCCAATGGCTTCACTTACAGGCCTCTGTAGGGGATTTCCAATTTCTGTATTTCATTCCCTGATCTTCCTCCCCTCTCCTTCAGGATGTTTTGGATGACTGCTAGGTATTTCTAGTCTTACTGCTCGATGTACATCAGCGAACTGCTGTCACTGTTACTGCATGCTGCCTGACAGCATACACTAATCTCTCATGAAGAATTTCAGCCAGCACAAGAACCTTCTGCTAGGTAAGTATCCAAATTAACAGCAGTTAGCATACAAGTGTCATCTCCAACTGCACTTACTAACAGCCTGATATTAAGCTAATCCAAAGCATTTGTTGTACAAAAGTACATTATTCTGTTAAAACAATCTTACATCTGCTCTCAGTTTATTAGGGTAAATAAGATGTCTATTAGCTCTTAAAGTCACATTACCTGCTGACATAAGAACCTGCTGGCTGGCCAACTGGCTGGATAAGAGCAGTTAATAGAGAGCAGTGAAAACAGTGAAGTGGCAGTAGCAGTAAATCAAAGACTGTGCAACTTTGTGCTACCTCTGAAGTTTTCAGTTACAATCAATACCATGCAATAGAAACTAAATATTCTATGTCACATGTACACCCTGGATTCTCCTGGAAATAAATTACTAACTCCAGAAGAAAGGAGTGGGTTGAAGCAATCACTCAAGGTTCTTCGTATTATACTTTGTGGTGCATATGTGCTTAGTATATGTCCCAAAATCAAGCTTTAAGAGCTCTGAGTAAGTTTTACCCTCTCCTTTCCTTAAGCTTCTTCAAGCAGGATGGCAGCAAGCCTTGCAAAGCATAGAGAGAGAAAACCAAGATGAATTTAGGTGTCAAAGCTTTTGGGGGATGGAAGCACAGACTGCATGACACCAACTGCATCATGGGCTGCAAGGCGGTGTCAGCCTCTGATCTTCTCTGAGCAATTTTATCAATACCTTTGATGCTCTTCAGAGCAGTTTAAAGGCACCAGCTACACCCTAAGCACAAAACTGCCAAAACCCCCGTCACCACAGTCTAGACTAAGCATGGATGAGGCTAATCAAGGTGGGTGAAACCCCGGGAGGTACATTCCCAGAGCTCCTAGCTTTTGGGGTGGTGGGGGCAAGGTCCGGCTGGTGAATCATACCGATCCGACATGTCAGAGCGGCCGGGTGACACAACCCCCTTGTCCCTCGTGCAGAAGCACCGCAGCCCTCGGTGCCAGCCGTGGGCAGCCCAGCGCCGTGGCACAGCCCGCGTGGGAGCCAAGCGCTTTTCAGCGGAGGCCCACTAGAGGCATTGCCGGGGCCGTGCAGCCGCCCAGCACATGGCTCACCGCCGCCGGGAGCTCTCCAGGGAGACCCGGCCTCTCCCCGTACGAAATCCCACTCCCACGGGGTGTCACACTGTACCGGCACGGTTGATTCCGCA